AGGCAATTCTCCTGCCTCAGCCTCCTGAGTAGCTGGGATTACAGGCACGCGCCACCATGCCCAGCTAATTTTTGTATTTTTAGTAGAGACGGGGTTTCACCATGTTGACCAGGATGGTCTCGATCTCTTGACCTCGTGATCCACCTGCCTCGGCCTCCCAAAGTGCTGGGATTACAGGCGTGAGCCACCGCGCCCGGCCCGAGCAGTAAGGTTTCTAAGCCCAGAACTTTTGAGAAAATGTAGAAGAAAATGTTAAAGCAATGCCTCTAAACACTTTTTTTCTTATAAAAGTAATGCAAGCACACTTCATATGCTTCAAATGCGACATCAATGTCTAATGTAGAAAATAGTGAGAACCCTGGAAACTGAAGAGCTAAGACTAACTGTGTAAAACCTATCCTCCAGAGGAAACTATGGCTAGTGTTTTCCTTCCACCCTCCTGGTTTCCTTGCTTCCATATACATTAGGAGCCGAAGCCCAGCAACATCCCTATCTCCTGTAAAAACTGACATGAGGGCGGGATGCAGTGACTCATGCCTGTAATCTCAGCACTTAGGGAGGCTGAGCTCGGCGGACTGCTTGAGCCAAGGAATTTGAGACCAGCCTGAGCAACATGGGAAAACTCTGTCTCTACAAAAAATACAAAAATTAGCTGGGCATGGTGGTACAATCGTGTAGTCCCAGCTACCTAGGAGGCTGAGATGCGAGGAACACCTGAGCCCAGGAGGTTGAGGCTGCAGTGAGCTGTGATCGCACCACTGCACTCCAGCATGGTGACAGAGTGAGACCTTGTCCCAAGGTGGGGGGAATCAACAGGAGCATCAGCTTCCAGAATTACTAGGATGGCTGGTTTGTAATCAGTAACTTATTTAAAAGTTTTCTTATAAAAGTGATTTATTACATAACATTTTTTAATGAAAAAATCTCAATACAGTTTTATACTTTTCAGTCTATTTTCTTACTCTTTTAAAATGCGTGTTTTTAAATCCTTTATATTTTTTCTCTTATAAAAGTAATGAGTACCCATAATCTTATAAATCAGAAAAAACCACTCTCAATACCCTAGCACAATTGCCCTTTTTTCGTATACTTGAAAAACAAGCGATCTCCGGACAACTAAATTTGGATCATGCTTTCAGGTACTCCAAATCCTGAGCAGCTCTGCTAGAGTGTTACGGTCAGGAACAAGGACTCTGAAGCCACACTGCTGGGCTCCAATCACATAAATGCCAGCTCGGGCAGCTGTGCTCCTGCTTCATTTTCCTCATCTATAAAACAGACAATAAATAGGGCCTATCTCACAAGTTTGTTATGAGGATCAATATGCAAAGCACCTGAAGAGTACCTGGCACAGAGTATGTGCTGCTAAGAGTTTGCTTTCTAATTTATTGTTACTGCTTCTTTTTTACTTCACATTATTTTTTCCTTTCTTTTTTTTTTCCAGAGACAGGGTCTCACAGGCTGGATTGCAATGGTATGATCATAGTTCACTGCAAACTCAAGCTCCCAGACTTCAGGGATCTTCCTGAACCAGCCTCCCAAGTAGCTAGGACTACAGGCACACGCCACACCTTCTTCTTCTTTTTTTTTTTTTTTTGGTATAAATGGGGTCTCAAATTCCTGGCCTCAAGTGATCCTCCTGCCTTGGCCTCCCAAAATGCTTGGAATTAAAGAAATGAGTCACCACGCCTGTCCTATTTCACACTATTTCTTAAGCAATCTATGTTATGAAAAAAATGTGACACTGCCATTGCTAGTGGGGCTAAGGCAGGAGGTCTCCTTAAGCCCAGGAAGTTGAGGCTGCTGTGAGCGAGCTGTGATCATGCCACTGCACTCCAGTCTGGACAACAGAATGAGGCTCTTTTTTTTTAAGACGTGGCTGTGTTATGTCATAATATCTAGCATGGATGTACTATCGTTCATTTAACCATTTCCATATCATTGGACCTCAATTGTCTGTGATTTTTATTATTATTACTTTTGAGACAGAGTCTCATTCTGCCACCTAGGCTGGAATGCAGTGGTGTGATCCTGGCTCACTGCAACCTCTGCCACCCAGGCTCAAGCGATTCTTGGGCCTCAGCCTGCTGAGTAGCTGGGATTACAGGCGCCTGCCACCATGCCTGGCTTATTTTTGTATTTTTAGTAGAGACAGGGTTTCCCCATGTTGGCCAGGCTGGTCTCGAACTCCTGACCTCAGGTGATCTACCTGCCTCAGCATTGTGAAGTGCTGGAATTGCAGGTGTGAGCCACTGTGTCTGGCTGCATATAACTTTTATAACTATGGTGTTTAACAGCTGTATAACATTCCATCAGACACGTCATTCATTATTTGTCATTCACTGAGTTATACATTTTTTTAATTCTTTTTTTTTTTTTTTTAACTAATCAAGCTTCCACAACAAGCTATACATTTAAGATGCAATTTTTAACCGGTAAGAATAATGGTAGTAAGATCATCTGAAGGAAGGCTCCACAGGCCTGTTTGTCATATTTTAGATTATTTCATTAGGGTCAATTCTCAGAAGTGGGAGTACAAGGTGAAAGGCTTGTTTGGATATTAATATAGCAATGGTACCTAAAAAACTTCATATCACAAGTGTGTGACTCCTGCCTGACAGAGAGTGCTCTGAGGACAGGGCCAGACCACACATCCATTGTCTCCTTTTCAGGCACTGGCACAGCTGTCAGGGAGTCTGTTTTCAGTATACCCACACTGAATTTATTTCCTTGAGCACCCTGCATTATTACGAGATACAAAGCCAAAGGGCTACAAACTGCCCAGGGTAACAATGTGAGGGGCATGGAGGCAGGGCAAACACTAACAATAAAGGGAGAATTTTAGCAAGTAAATTTTATCTGTCCAAAGGAAATTAGTGTTCTTTCTAGAATATGCTTTCCTTCAGAGGTAAACAAACTGTGAACCAACCTCTGTACTACCAGAGTTTATAGTTCAAGAGATGTAAATGTAATAGCCGTATGAGATCAAAAAAATGGCTCCTTTGGGAGAATGGGTGTATCTAAAGGGTGCACCCAGCACCCTTTTATAAAATTTCATAAATTTTATAATTTTTTATATTCATATAAAATGTGAAAAAATATAAAAATATGTATTCATATTTTATATCAACAAAACCAGAAACTATCTGCATTATTCTGCATCTACTAAATGATTTCTGGAGGGACTCAAACCATGAAACCAACAGTTTTCTCAACAATATGAATGTTATGAGGAACAAGACCAAGGTCCTGCTCTCACCTATGGTCCCCAAGGCCAGCAGTGGGCCTGGTATGGCAGAGGCTCTCAATCAATATCTGGTCAAGGGGTATAGAAGTATAGCCCTTTTGAGAAGGATCCAGTTTGATTTTAGAAGCAACATTTCTTATTTTTAGGAGTCATACTTCTATTTGTGGACCATGTACTCCAGACCCAGACTCCATTTAAACATTTCAAAATACTATCAAGTTCAAAATGTACATGCTTGTTTATTAGAAACACCTTTCAATTATTTCTGTTCTTTATCTGGCTTTTTTTTTTTTTTTTTTGAGACAAGATCTCGCTCTGTTGCCCAGGCTGGAGTGCAGTTGCATGATTATGGCTCAATATGACCTCAACCTCCCAAGCTCAAATGATCTTCCTGCCTCAGGCTCCTGAGAAGCTGGGGCCACAGGCATGTGCCACCACGCCCAGCTAATTCTTCTGAATTTTGCAGAGATGAGGTCTTACTAGGTTGCCCAGACTGGTCTCAAAGTCCTGGGCTCAGATGATCCTCCTGTGTTGGCCTCCCAAAGTACTGGGATTACAGGTGTGAGCCACTGAGCCTGGCAAGCACTTGTTTCTGGTTCTGGTAATGACCTGTCGCATGGAAAGAGCTGGCTGTGAGAAGCCCATTCCAGGCTGTCTGGTGACGGCTTACCAATGTTAACTGAATCTTCCCAGTCTTCCAGCACTTCAGTGACAATGAGCACATAGACATACGTCCTGTGCTTTCTCTCCTGGTTCTGAAGGGCAAAGAAAGAAAAACAGAGAGTTTTTCCTTAGAGCGCTGGAATTGCTGAAATTAAACACACTCCTATGCATATATCCAGAGAACTTCGACACAAAGATTCTAAACTTTTACTTTTTATGGTACTACAGTTATAGCTACATTATTCAAAATAGGCCACACTTGAATTTGAGGGTGTACTCTGGCTGGACTTCTAAAACCAAGTATTTACATTGGTTTTTCCTCCCCTTCGCCTAAATACAACTTCACAGGAATGCTGTGATCCCTCAAGAAAAAGGCATCATATAAATTTAATTAGCTAGAACACCAGGGAGAGAAGACTGTGGATGGGTGGACCACCACAGAGGTCTCAAACTTCAGTGACCCCATCAAGACAAACAAGCTGAGTGTGACACACACACACACACACCTCTTTTCCCACTAACCCCATTCACCTTTTTTTTTGTGGAGAGAGAGGCCTTACTCTTGTCACCTAGGGTGGAGTGCAGTGGCATGATCATGGCTCACCACAGCCTTGACCTTCCTGACTTTAGGGGATCCTCTCAACTCAGCTTCCCAAGTAGCTGGTACAGGCATGCACCACCACACCCAGATAATTTTTTTTTTTTTTTTTGAGACAGAGTCTTGCTCTGTTGCCTAGGCTGGCGTATACTGTCGTGATCTCGGCTCACCACAACCTCCACCTCCCAGGTTCAAGCGATTCTCCTGCCTCAGCCTCCCAAGTAGCTGGGATTACAGGCACCCACCACTACATCTGGCTAATTTTTGTATTTTTAGTAGAGATGGGGTTTCACCATGTTGGCCAGGCTGTTCTGGAACTCCTGACCTCAGGTAGTTACCCGCCTCAGCCTCCCCAAAGTGCTGTGATTACAGCCATGAGCCACCACCCCCAGCAATAAATAAACTTTTTTAAAAGGTGGCTGGGCACTGTGATTCATGCCTGTAACCCCAGCATTTTGGGGGCCCAAAGTGGGAGGATCACTTGAGCCTAGGAGTTCAAGACCAGCCTGGACAACATGGTGAAATCCTGTCTCTACAAAAAAATACAAAAATTAGGTGGGTGTGGTGGCTCACTTCTCTAATACCAGCACTTTGGGAGACTGAGAAGGGCGGATCACTTGAGGTCAGGAATTTGAGATCAGCCTGACCAACATGGTAGAACCTTGTCGCTACTAAAAATAAAAATTTAGCCGGGCATGGTGGTGCGTGCCTATAGTCCCAGCTAGTCAGGAAGCTGAGGCAGGAGAATGTCTGGAGCCCGGGAGGCAGAGGTTGCAGTGATCCAAGATCATGCCACTGTACTCCAGCCTGTGTAACAGACCAAGACTCTGTCT